CAGGCACCCACTGTCATGCCCAGCTAATTTTTGTCTTTTTGTAGAGATGGGGTTTCACTATGCCTCACTGCATCTTTCCTTTCTTATAACGGCATTAATCCCCTGATAGGGATTAATGACTTTATCTAAACCTAATTACCTCCCAAAAGCCCCACCTCCAAATACCATCACCTTTGAGGATGGGACTTCAGCATATGAATTTTTCAGGGTCACAGGGGCAATGACAAATTGTCTATTAAATAAAAATAAATTTATTTATTTATTTGAGACAGAGTCTTGCTCTGTCACCCAGGCTGGAGGGCAGTGGCATGATCTCGACTCACTGCAACCTCTGCCTCCCAGTTTTAAGTGATTCTCCCGCTTCAGCCTCCTGAGTAGATGGGACTACAGGTGTGCACTACCACATCTGGCTAAGTTTTTGTATTTTTAGTAGAGATGGGGTTTTACCATGTTGGCCAGGCTGGTGCTGAACCCCTGACCTCAGGTGATCCCCCCACCTTGGCCTCCCAAAGTGCTGGGATTACAGGTGTGAGCCACTGCACCTGGCCTCGTTGTCTGTTTTTAAGGACAATCAATGACAGCATAAGTAGCTTGAGCCTAAAATACTTGTATGCTCGTTCTCCTAGTGAAGCTGACATAGGTAGCCACTCAGTCTCAGTCATCAAGTATGATGTGGGGGCCTATGTCATCCATTAGTTCGTTTAACAGACATTCATTACGCACCAAGTGTCTGTGTGGCTCTGTGATAAGCACTGCTTGAGAGAAGGGAGAAAAGAAAATCTTCAAACCACTAGAGGACGATATAATACAACACAATCCACCCTGAATTTAGGCAGGGCAAATGCCAAAATTCAGAGACAGGAAGGATGTGCACTGAAACCTGAATGACTTATGGATGGAAGCAGATTTTTAGCCTTTACCAAAAAATCAGTATAAATTTGACTTATTTCCTGCTTCTAGCAGACCTGCTGAATACCTCTTCCTTTTCAGAAATGCTGGCTTGATTTCTTGGCATGAATCTGGATTTTGAGAGCACTGAGGCTAGTTTGTTTTCAACATAATATATGTTGGTTTGCTTTGTGTTAAACATTCTGAGTAATTCATAATTAATTCTTTTAACTGAATGATTTTTTGAATGTGTTTTTTAACTTATGCACCCCTCACACTTCTGTTTTTTTTCACAACCTGATTTGAGTGGAAACTTCTGAGAATTTCTGTAGTTATCTTATGATGTGTCTTTCTATTTAAAAGGGAACCAAAAATTTATCTTAATTTTTACAAGTCATTAAAATTTATCTAGCTAAGTCCTCTGTGTTTACAAGCTACAGTGGCTTTTATATCTCCAGTGCTTAGCACAATGAAAGCTTGGCATGTAATAAGCACTCAGTGAAAGCCTGGTGGACCTCTCATAGCAAAAGACAGAATAGAAAAAATGTCAGAGGACAGCTTGCCTGTCCACAGGCCATAGTAAATTTTTATGTCCAGGCCAGGCGTGGTGGCTCTTGCCTGTAACCCTGGCACTTTAGGAGGCTGAGGCAGGTGGTTCACAAGGTTAGGAGTTCGAGACCAGCCTGACCAATATGGTGAAACCCCATCTCTACTAAAAATACAAAAATTAGCCAGGTGTGGTGGAAAGTGCCTGTAATCCCAGCCTCCCTACTTGGGAGGCTGAGACAGAATTGCTTGTACCCGGGAGGCAGAGGTTGTAGTGAGCTGAGATCATTATAACCTGGGCAACAGCCTAGGTTGTTGTGCCCCAGCCTAGGCAACAGAGTGAGACCCTGTCTCAAAAACAAACAAACAAAAAAAACAAAAAAAACTCTTTTTAATGTCCAGAGCCTTTTGTTGAGGGAAATGGACACTTCTACAGTCTTCTGCATTTGTGTACTGTATCTCTGGAGAGCCAGATCTGCTTCTATGACCAATTGCTGCCTCTTGTCCTTTATTGATCACAAGGGCAAATTCTTGAGAGAGAAAACTTGATAGACTTAGCAAGTAACTATAGGCTTCCTCATGGGCCTCCAGCCCAGTGGTTCTCAAACTTGAGCATGGAATCCCCTGGAAGGCTTATTATACTTATCCATAGGTGGCCACATCCTCAATCACATCGCATATTCCCCAGCCTACAGCTGATGGACCTCTCACCTGAGGACTGTCCACTTACAGCCTAGAGCAGTGGTTTTTAAAGTGTGGTCTCAAGATCAGAAACATCAGCATCACTTGGAAATTTATAGCAATATGGGTGATTGGACTCTGCCGGAGATCTGCTGAATTAGAAGTTCTGAGGGTAGTGCATAGCAATCTGTGTGTTTTTTCTTTTCTTTTCTGTTTTTTTTTTGAGACAGAGTCTCACTCTGTTGTCCAGGCTAGAGTGCTGCCATGGTGCACTCTCAGCTTACTGCAACCTCTGCCTCCTGGGTTCAAGCTATTCTCCTGTATCAGCCTCCTGAGTAACTGGGATTATAGGTGCATGACACCACGCCTGGCTACTTTTTGTATTTTTAGTAAAGACAGGATTTCACCATCTTGGCCAGGCTGGTCTTGAGCTCTTGACCTCAAGTGATCTGCCTGCCTTGGCCTCCCAAAGTGCTGGGATTACAGGCATGAGCCACTGTGCCCAGCCACAATCAGTGTTTTAATAAGCCTTCCAGGTGATTCCATGCTCACATTGAGAACCATTGGGCTGGAGGCCTATGAGGAAGCCTACAGTTACTTGCTAACTTAATCAGGTTTTCTCTCTCAAGAATTTGTACTGGTGATCCATAAAGGACAAGAGGCAGGCAGTTGGTAATGGAAGCAGATCTGGGCTCTCCAGAGATGCAGTACACAGATGCAAGAGGCTGTAAAAGCCACGGACTAGCAGAAGTTATGTTGTGAGGTAGAGATAAAATACTCAAAGTTGATATCAAAGAGTTTGGTAGTGGTGGAGCTGGAAGAGCAGAGAAAGAAAGTTGCTGGGTCACCATGATGGTGGTGGGTCAACGAACACAGCTGCTGAAGAGTCAGCATGGTGACCTGGGTTTGTTGCTGCAGCAGCATTGCACCTTCCAGTCCTGGGAAATGTGTCCAGAACTGTGAGAGAACAGATTTCCGTTGTTTCTCTTCAGCCTATGATATTTTGTTAAGGCATCCTGAGCTAAGGCATACTTCAAGTGATATAATCTCATAGCAGTATAGTCAATTTTTTTTTTTTGAAACAAAGTTTTGCTCTTGTCCTCCAGGCTGGAGTGCAATGGTGTGATCCTGGTTCACTGCAACCCCTGCCTCCTGGGTTCAAGTGATTCTCCTGCTTCAGGCTCCTGAGTAGCTGGGAATATAGGCATGTGCCACCATGCCCACCTAATATTTGTGTTTTTAGTAGAGAGGGCGTTTTACTGTGTTGGCCACACTGGTCTCAAACTCCTGACTTCAAGTGATCTGCCTGCTTTGGCCTCCTGAAGTTCTAGGATTACAGGTGTGAGCCACTGCACCTGGCCAAGTCAGTTTTTATCTTCATATAACTGGCCATATTTTTACTAGAAGCATCAGAAGAGGAATATCACAACTGTAACAATTTGGGGAAATTTTCCTAGGCTTCTTTGAGTAGATTATTGGAGAGACCTATGCTGGACTGCTTGATTCCCTAATGGGAAATTAATTCTGTAGCATCTGTTATGGGTTTTTTGTTTGTTTGTTGTTATTTGTTTTAAATCTCATTGAAGCAAGTATAGGCTCAAGTTTATTATTATTATTTTGCTTTAGAAACCAAAAACTGAAAAAAAAAACGGAAACCAAAAACTTTATACTTTTTTTTTTTTTGAGCTGGAGTTTCACTCTTGTCCCCCAGTCTGGAGTGCAGTGGCATGATCTTGGCTCACTGAAACCTCTGTCTCCCAGATCAACCTTTGTCTCCCGGATTCAAGTGATTCTCCTGCCTCAGCCTCTCTGGGATTACAGATACGCACCATCATGCCCGACTAATTTTGTAATTTAAGTAGAGATAGGGCTTCACCATGTTGGACAGGCTGGTCTCAAACCCTCAACCTCAAGTGATCCGCCCACCTTGGCCTCCTAAAGTGCTGGCATTACAGGTGTGAGCTACTGCGCTTGGCCTTGTATGTTTTCTTGAGCAGCTCTTTCATTGGCTTTAGAAACTTCCCCTTTGTCCTGGTGGGAGGCAACCACATCTATATTTAAGATGGCTGAGTTACAGAGACACTGGTGTGCCTCATCCTTAGGGCTGAAACTGCCTTTGAAAATCATGACTGAGAGTGAAAGAAATCTAACTGGCTCTAACTTGGTTCTAACCTTTAAGCTGTCCTTTTTCCCTCCTGGGCATAGGCTGAACTAACTTTGGGAGGAACTTAAGTTTAAAACAAAGACAATAATAGCTCTTTCCCCAAACAAACTTCTTTCTTGTGTGGGGGCTAGACTGTCTTTTTAGGACCAAGAAATTAGCCACAAGATTAGAAATTATGGTTTAGGAGTCATGCAGCTGGAGGCTACAAGATTCCAATCCTCCCTAAATTGTTCCTAAGATCAATGCTTGAGATACTTTGCAGACCCTGCACTTGATAGATCGGCTGGCACCACCTAGATTGACAAACTGGTCCACCTGATCTTGTGGCCCCCACCAGGAACTGACTCAGTGCAAAAGGACAACTTCAATTCCCTATGATTTAATCTCCCACCCATCCAATCAGCACTCCTGACTCACTGATGTCCCCCAACCCACTAAGTTGTCGTTAAAAACTCTGATATCCAAATGCTCAGGGCGACTGATTTGAGTAATAATAAAAGTCTGGTGTCCTGCACACCTGGCTCTGTGTGAATTACTCTTTATTGCAATTCCCTGTCCTGATAAATCTACTCTGTCTAGGCAGTGGGCAAGGTGAACCCATTGGATGGTTACAGGGTCTCCCAGCACACAGCTTCATCACAGCATAAATGAATGTGGCTTGAGTAGGGGCTTGTATGTTGAATTCAAACCCACAAAATTGAAATTTTTTCCTTTTCAATAGGCTCTGCAATTTGCCTGATAGCAGATTATAAGGACCGCTAGAGCACTACTTCCAACCCAGCCTTATAAGCTACACAACAGACTAAATGTTATGAAGACGATAAATTTAAAATAAACCAGAGAATCTGAACGACAAATGCATAATATTCCTTTGAAAGTTTTTTTACTTTGTGATTTGGGGTGGGGTGGGTGTTCACTTATAACAATGACGCTGGAAATGTGAGAACGTTTTGAACCTATAGTAGCAAAGTAGCTGGAGGACTAATTAGCCAGGTGTAACTCCTCCTTCTGTGAGTCAGACAGCTCAGCGGTTTCCACAAGTGCTTATTCACTGCTCTAAATATTTCTGTCCTTTCCAGAGAACAACAGAAAGATTGAGTCTAGAAAGTTGGTATGAGAATCAGAACTGGGCCGGGCACGGTGGCTCACGCCTGTAATCCCAGCACTATGGGAAGCTGAGGTGAGCGGATCACTTGAGATCAGGATTTCGAGACCAGCCTGGCCAACATGGTGAAACCCTGTCTCTACTAAAAATACAAAAAATTAGCCAGATGTGGTGGTGAATGCCTGTAATTCCAGATACTTGGGAGGCTGAGGCAGGACAATCTCTTGAATCCGGGAGGTGGAGGATGCAGTGAGCCGACATCGCGCCGTTGCACTCCAACCTGGGCAACAGAGCAAAACTCCAACTCAAAAAAAAAAAAAAGAATCAGAACTGATGAAAAATATGAGTTTAGATCAAATGAGTACAGAGGACGTTTTAGAAAACCAAAGGAAACAACCAGAGTCAATCAGCTATTGGGGGCCCATGCCTACAACTGAGCAAGGCTGCTAGTTATGTACTTACAACAAGGTGCAAGGATGCAATTACTATTGAAAATCTGGTCAAGGAAAGAATGTTGTTTTTTGTTGTTGTTGTTTGGGATTTGTTACTGTTTTGGATTGTGAATATGGGCCCCTTTCCCCCCCATTCAACTCACTAGCATTTCTTGTCATTTATTTATTTATTTATTCCTCAGCTGGAACATTTCGTGTCGTTTAGACTAGACTCAAGTATTAAAAAAAAGGCAGTCTGGGCCAGGCATGGTGTGGCTCATGTCTGTAATCCTAGCACTTCAGGAGGTCAAGGCAGGCAGATCATTTGAGGTCAGGAGTTCGAGACCGGCCTGGCCAAGATGCAACATGTTAGCCATGCGTGGTAGCATGTGCCTGTAATCCCAGCTACTTGGGAGGCTTGAACCCGGGAGGTGGAGGTTACAGCCAGTTGAGATCGAGCCACTGCACTCCAGCCTGGGCGACAAGAGTGAAACTCCATCAAAAAAAAAAAAAGGCAGTCTTGCTTTTTGGGTGGACTAATGGCATTTAGTCAAAATGAAGACAAAAAAATTCGTAAGTTGAAAAACCCTGAGAGACAGGTTTTGCCAAGAGAGTGAATTTGACAGCTTTCCAGATGCCTCACGTTAGGAAAGTTTCCTAGGTTTGAGTCTGGAATGTAGAGCAGAGTTGTCTGAATCTATGGAGTTGATGGAGGCATTCCTTGATGAGGAGGAGAAATTCCCCAGGGACTTTGTAAATCTGAAGCAGATAAAAGGAAATGAAGAAACCAAATTTTACAGCTTTGATGACATTTGTCAAGAAGAGCTAGATATTAAGTAATTTTTCTCTTTTTAAAAATTTTTTGTTAAGTAATTAGCTTTTAAGAAGCAAATCGTATTGAACTTGGCTGTGATAGAAAGGAATTCATTTAATAAATCAAAACAAAAACAAAGAAGCGAAGCAGGAATCTCCTAATCAGCAGAAAAGGGAGGACAGCCGGAGACAATCGTCCAGATACTGATCTAAACTTGAGCTGAAACAGTAAGTTTTTTTGTCTTGTTTTTATCTATTATTGTTTTAAAATAAAGGGACATAAGGCTTGTAGAGCCCCACACACCCAGAGCCCTGAGATAAAGGGTACACGCGATGAGGAAGGGCACCCAGGATGTGAAGGGAGAGTTGTTTCGTGTTTGATTTACTTTGCTGTCCAAGAAGGACAAATACGTTGAAGTTAAGTGCCACAGCTTAGATAAGAGTAAGACAGAAGAACAGAGGAGGATGACAAACTAAAGCACACAAAGGCTCATGAGCCACAATAACTATGAAACCTAGGCGTTCTGAATCTCTGGGTTTAGAATTCTAATAAAAAAAAATCAAACATTCTAGCCATTATCTAGACAAATAAGGGCAGCCGTTAACTGTCTCATTTTATACCACAGCGCCACCTATGGGACGATAATAGAAATACATCCGGAAGTACCCAAAACCTGTCGAAGTCCTGCCTACACGATTTTATAAGTAACTATAAATTCTAGAATCATAGGATTTCAGAGTGGTGGAAATTTAAAAGTCATTGGAGTCAGGTTTGTCCCCAAAATTTGAATCATTTTCATCACATATTTGATTAGCGTTTAATTCTGCTCAAACATCTTCAGTGAGTGAAAACCCACCCTCACTAAGCAGCTAGTTCTATTAATAGTAATACTTACACACACTATTACCTTTCACTCAGTGCTTCACCATTCCCTTCTGCAGTACCTGGACAGACCTGCAGTACCTGGTGCTAGGTCTTTCCAGGGTTCTTGGGAGTAAATTGGCTTCATTTTCATTGGAATTCCTCTTTGCAGACCCATTGAGGGTAGGCTCTGCCAAATCAAGTTACTATGTACTTTCTTGTGTTTCAAATTATTGCTCACATCTTCTGTCTTCTATTTCTCCTCTCTCATTCTCTTTTTGTTAGATTTCTACTTTTTGTCAAAAATTCATCTATTATCATTTTGATAGATTTTGGAGAAGGGAAGAAATAAAAGCAAGCAAGCAAGAAATCCCATCATATTTAATTAGGGGCCTAGTCATGTTTTTCTGGTTCTGTTCTTATGCATGAAAAAAACATAAGCATAGGGCTTTACAATTTATTTCAGTTAAAATTTTATTAAGTTTGGCTTATTGTTAAAGCCTTTGGATCTTCACTCTGCTGTATTCAATATATCGGCTACCTTTCCCAGCAGTCAGATAAATGCATTAGCAAGCTGACTGTACACACAGCTATTTACTCAATGAGCAGGGCAAGACTGCAAACAGAATTCCTTGACACTGGAAATTCTGGGCTGTCATTGATTGATAACTAGCACCTATCTTTGTGATTATCTGGGCCACATTCTTCTGTCTTGTTCACAAGACGAAAGTCTCTGTCAAATGCTGAGTTCAAATGCTGAGTATTGACAGCTTCTTCTGATTTGTCAGTCTGGCAGAGTTTGGATAAAAAGGGAAGTGCTGTTAATTCATTAAATAATGACTTTTCCTATCTGAATCTTACTCACAATTAAATGTTCCCCCTTCTTGGTGTTCAAGGTGACGTTGGATAACCTGTCTGAGAATTACACTATTCATTCCTGCCCCAGTTTCTAGAATTCTTCTATGACAATGAATAACAGCTCATTTTATCCCCAATGTCTTCTAGCTGTAGGCTAGGATGTAGTTTGCTAGGACCAGGTTTACACTGATGTAGAGAACCTGGATGCCTTCTTAGGTTCTTTCCACCAGTTTGGATTTTTAGGTCTCTCATCTGGATGCTTGTTGATTTTCTGGCCAGTAATCTTTCTCCTTGGCAGAAATGAAAGATAGAAAAATAGGAGATAAAGTGATATCTGCCCCTATTATCCATCTTTCATTTTCCTTGTTCTTATTGCTCTTGTGTAATTCCAGAAAGTGCTTTTTTTTCCTGATGGAGTCTCACTCTATTGCCCAGGCTGGAGTGCAGTGGCATGATCTTGGCTCACTGCAACCTCCACTTCTCGAATTCAAGTGATTTTCCTGCCTCAGCCCCCTGAGTAGCATGAATCACTATGAAGAGCTAATTTTTGTATTTCTTTTTAGTAGAGATGAGGTTTCCATGTTGGCCAAGCTGGTCTCAAACTCCTGACCTCAGGTGATCCACACGCCTCAGCCTCCCAAAGTGCTGGGACTGTGCTCAGCCCAGAAAGTGCTTTAAGTCACTCTTACATTTAAAAGTTTATCTGCCTTTCCTTTGTGTGGTATAGAATGTGAAGTTATTTGGCTAGGCAAGCTTGTTGGATTTCTTCAATTTGACCTTTTAGATTCATTTTCCACCTTTCTCCATAATTTTCTATCCTGGGAGGCTGTCCTGTATAGATCACAGCAAAGTACCTATGTCTTCCGGGTTTCTGCAAACCTAGAATGTGGCCCAGAAGACATAGGTACTTTGCTGTGATCTATACAGGAGATGGGAGGGAGCGAGAGGGGAACATGGGGCAGGTGCATAGATTTCCATGGTTCCTTCCTGTGTGGTTGATACAAGCTGCTGTGTCTCTCAACAGAAGGTCACTGCTTTTGTCTAGGTGGCCTGCTCTATACCGCCCTTTTTTTGGGGAGTTCTGACAAGCTCTTGTTCACTCTATTCCTCTGGAGATGGTGACAGCTCTACTGCCATTATCTCTTATTGCTCTGCTATTCCCAGTCACCCCTTTGTGATTAGACCCTCTGTGAATAAAACCTCCTCCAATTTTCCTAATTCATGCGCGCCATCTGTTTTTGTTCTTTGAGGTGGAGAGAACTGGACTGATACAGGAAGTTTAAAACAAGTGTGAGAGAAAGTTCTTCTATTGCATAGAGTTATTTTGGACCACGTGATAAACTATTCTTGGACGCTCCAGTAACTGACCTTTTGTAAAATTGTTGGTGCATCAGAGTCAAAGACAGAAAATAGTTTATGAATTTTTTAGATTGGAAAGCCAAGTGGTATTTTATTTCATAATAATGCCGATATAACTGAATGCTATATTCCAGAAATGATAACTGATATTTTGGTTTCCGAACTGTTGGACAAAAAACAGGTATGTGAAACACAGGAATGATTTCCAGAATATATAAGGAACTCCTGCAAATCAGTACGGAACAGACAAAAAATAAAGCAGAAAAATGGGCAAAGGGTATAAATAGACAAGTCAAAGATGGAAACTGTATATGAAAAGATGCACCTAGTAATCTGGAAAATGCGAACTAAAACAAGATAGCACTTCATATGCATTATAAGGGCAAAAGTTAAAAAAAAGTCATGGCCAGGCACGGCGGCTCACGCCTATAATCCCCGCGCTTTGGGAGGCCGAGGCGGGTGGATCATGAGGTCAAGAGATCGAGACCATCCTGGTCAACATGGTGAAACCCCGTCTCTACAAAAAACACAAAAATTAGCTGGGCATGGTGGTGCGCACCTGTAGTCCCAGCTACTTGGAAGGCTGAGGTGGAGAATTGCTTGAACCCAGGAGGTGGAGGTTGTGGTGAGCTGAGATTGTGCCACCACACTCCAGCCTGGGTAACAAGAGCGAAACTCCATCTCAAAACAAAACAAAACAAAAGTCATAGAGTAGTCTTTGGGGAGTGAGTACAAATGTAAATTGATACATCCACTTTGCTTATTTACATATATTTTATATTTTTATTATTTTAAAAATTGAGATGGGGTCTTGCTATGTAGCCCAGGCAAGCCTCAAACTCCAGGCCTCAAGTGGCCTTCCCATCTTGGCCTCCCAAAAAGCTGGGATTACAGGTGTGAACCACTGTGCCTAGATGGTACGACTCCTTTGGAAAATAATTTAGCAATATTTTGTAAAGTTGAAAGTCAGCATGTTACAGGATCCAACAATTCCAATTCTAGGTATTTGTTGGTCTGCAGCTTCTTGCACTTATGCACTAGGAGACATGTAGAAGAATGTACATTATGACACTGCTTGCAAAATATGAAAATTGGAAATAAGCTAATGTTCATCAAAAAGGGAATGTATAAATAATCAAGGTATATTTATATGATAAATGATACAAAGTGTTGAATGAACTCAATCAATATATATTAGGAGGCAATGAGTTTTTTTTTTTTTTAAAAAGCAGGTGGAAGAAAGTTACTAGATGCTACTATTTTTTCCAACTTGGGTAGAAGTTAACACGTAAAGAAGAGTA